ATTAAAAAAGTATCGGCATGATTAGTGTTAATTGTCTAATCTGTAAGCCTCTAATTTTCAAAGTCTAAGTGAATAAACATCAAATATTTTAAGACGAATATGATAAACTGTACAATAAAAGTCTTTAAACCTAGTGTCAAAGCAATTTGTCGCAAAAACGACACGTTAATCAAATGCACCTGAAATCGACTGCGCAACACTATCCTTACCAGATTCCAAAGTGTCATTGTTAGACAGTTTAGCTACCGCGAATCCTTATCCCTGAGACAAAGTGATCACGATTCACCGGATATCCGTTGTAGCCATGATCGTCGACCAGCCAAACGATGAACTCTGACCTAACTAGCCGCTTAGAAAGCCGGCCGCCGTACAAACGTTAAAGAACCTTTAACAGAAGGGAACCTGAAGAGAGAAAGGGGAAGCGAAAGAGAGGCTGGTTCTCTCGGGGTAGCCGAGCACTCCACGCGAACGTCGGCGCGTGCGCGCCGAAACACGCATGCACCTACACAACGTACGCCCGTCTCGTATCCCACGAGCGTGTGTGTATGCCGGTGTCAAATAGAGAACCCATTTCCATGAGACCGGAGTCTCGGGGCCGGGAGGGAAGCACGCAGCAGTATTTGCATGCAGCAATGAATTCGCGTCTCGATAACTCTGCCTGCGACTTTTTATGTTCAGTTCGTGCTTGGATCGCTTTTACCAAGAATTTAGTCGATGCAGCGTGACGATTATCCCTTTTGACTCTCGATCGGACTATGAATGTATGAATTTTTTCTACGAACCGAATAACAAGTACCGATAACAAACATAAATACTTTATGGTCAAACTATGTTAATGACTTCTACGGAAAGAAGAGAACAATGCGAAGTACTGAAAGAATTATTCGAAAGTTGTAACATATCATGTAGCGATTGTAAAATGTCACTCATATGAAGCCAAATATTAACACTAGGTTTTCGGGGCGCGTCAATTTGACGCATATTAAATTTTATAAACATTATTTGGCAAATGTTTAAATCGGTTTTCATCGATGCATTTGCACGAATACTTTTAATCCTCTGCTTTCCAAGATTCAAATAAACAAGTACCAATTTTTCTAGGGACAATAGAATAAATTGTACAATAAATTCCTGCAAATCTAGTGTTAATCGGACAGTGGACAGAGACTTAATGCATTACTTGCAATTTGAATGTGTATGATTTTTTTCATCACGTTTTTAAATCCTCAATGCACATTGTATCAAACATTAATCCTTTTTTGTTTATTCAAACTTTTTTCCAAACTTTTACTTTTTCTTTGTTACTAGTGCCACAGCAACTTGATTACAAATCTTGACGTACCCTTAGACACGCAATTCTATGGATCTTTTCAAAAGTTTCTATTGAAAATTGAAGTATCTGTTCAGATGTAGAGAAAATCTTCGTGGACAGTAACTAAATTCTGTTCATTTAATATTTTACCATAAATATTAGCGTTCAACTTCAAACCAAAGACTTGTCACCCACGTGGGAGTGACAAGGTACTTAAAGTGTTGAAAGAGTGCTCTAAAAATGTTCAGTGTGGTTGCTCATACAGTTGTGACAATTACAAAAATTTAGACATAAATTAGTTATTTTAAAACTATAATACTTGAAGTAAACTTGACATAGATATAATAAATCAAATCCTTAGTTAATATTTGTAGTCGTTCTTAAAATAAATGTTTCAACGAATTTGTTTGTAGTCTAAACGTACAGAAAAAAATACTCCCATGTTTTTTAGTTCAAATTAATTTTTGTTTTCAATAGATGTAAAATTTTAATAATTCATTTTTCGGTGTAATCTATAGAAAATTGTGATAAATGTATTAACGAAGCCATAATAGTAAACTGTAATTCTAATATTTCAAATGCAATTTATAAGAAAGGGAACTTTAAAAAATTCAATTCAAATTACGGGATTCAGATTGTGAGCAAATTCAATTTGTGAACTTTTCGATTTATAGGAACTTTTCTACACGGACGTATCAATCGTGTCAAAAAAGAATTGCGTGTATGTTGTAATTTGTTATATACATAGAAAACTCTAAGCACGGAAGAAACGCACACTGTTCACAGTTTAACTTTTTAACAATACATTTTCCCGTTGGGCTGACAATTTCAGCGAGTAGACGCCGGAACCACGAACTACGAACCGCTCAGAAAACGTCCCCCCATCGATGCTACTTCCGTCGTATTTCGGGACTGGCGGGCTTCCACGGACACACAACACGTTGCAACGCTTGGTCATTGGCCGTATTGTGCCATCTGCCACTGTGAAAGTAAGGTCCGCTACACTATTCCAGCACGCGACGCTGAAAAGCTATCATTTTCGTAAATTACTTCCACCTTTTGAACATCTCGAATATACTGAACATATATTCTCGTTACATTTTAATAAAATAAAAATTCCGTTAGATCGTTATGCGTATTAAAAGATAGTATAGAAATTTGATTATTAATATAAGGATGGATTCCATATTTATTTCATTTCATATCCCTGATTTGGATTTACCTTGAAATAAATTATTATATGTACGACATACTGGTTCTTTTTGTAAACGAAACGCACTACAAATATAGTAAACATTACATGACGCTTACACGGTCGTTAGCTGTATGGAAAGGTACGCAGTGAAGTCCAAAATCGATTTTTTCGAAAGCTAAATTTTAAATGAAAAAAATGTTGTTGTACACTTTTTGTTTATTCTTACTCAAGAAATTACTCCCTGTCTACTTATACCATATTTTCAGCCGCACCCTACATATGGATTATGTAAATAATATTCATTTCGAACAATATTAATTCTAATGAAAGATAAATCTTATTCGTGTGCTCCTTACACTCGAACTGAATGTACTATTTAATTTTATTAAAGGTCCAGTAGTACATTGTACGTACATCGCCTCTAGGCAAAAGATTAATTTGAGATTTTTACTCGAGACATGCTTTTAACGGAAAATGAAAGATCTGATAATGCGTATAAAGAAATGTACCTAATTTTACATGACTAGGACGAAACGAGTTAATTTCTTTCCACTGAGAAATCGCTATTCATAAACGCTACCTGGCATTAGGCAAACGCATTCATTTAAGGAAATGCAATTCAACGATAAAAGATTCAATGACACACGACAACTCAATAATTCAAGCCCCATTGAGGCGATTCGATCTAATCTTCATTAATCTTACGCTATTCGTTCCCCCTTTTCATTAGTTAAGATGAACGGGATACCATTTACTCTGACAACACGTTGCCACGATAAAAGTAGCACGATAGCTCGTATATCTGCGCGGAAACAGTTATATTTCTCCGTGGACAGACTAGCTCGGACACGCCTACCGGCTGGCCCTATTTCGATCAAAGACGCTCAGGCGACTTCAGAAATTCGCCGATAGCCATTTCCTAAATTCTTTAGATTCTCTGCGCGGCTGCGACGTGACTCCGGTTACATTTGATACGGAGCATCCAGATAATATTCAAACCGTCCGAAAACTAGTGTTCACGCGAAAGTAAAACTTTTCCATCATCCTCGGAATTCCTATCGGCAGATAAGTTGGCGAGTGAGAATGGTTAGCACTCGTAACAGAAGCGAAACGTCAAATTTACGTTTGTGTCGGCGTCGGCTAAAATAAGATCGAGAGCTCGATAACCGGCGTTCGACGAACCGATCAGAAATACGAAACTTCGCGCGGATAGGGGAAGGGAATGAAAAATTCAGAGTGTCGCGTACCCAGACGATCGATGTGCAGAAATTCGGGATATCTTACATAATTGATGAGCGCACAACGGCCCTGAGTCGACTACGGATCCGACGACGTATCCCCGTAACGATTCGCGCGTAATCGTCGCAACCGTCTGGCCCAGGAGACGGCGATGGCACGACGAGAGTCCCGTCAGAACGATCGCCGCTAATCATTTCATTCCCGTCTCGGGCGGGAAGAGAGATGCACGCGAAGCGCTCGTCCGACATATCGATCCGGGGTCGGCTCGAAGAAATTCGCGAAACGCGCGAATCATTCGACGAGAAGGAAAAAAGGAAAGGAGAAAACCGTGAGGAAATAGGGGAAGCGGGCAGGGAGAGAGGCTGGAGGGGGATGATCCGGTGGGAAGAGAACGAGAGAAAGGGAGAGTGGGAGGGAGAGCCGCGAGAGAGCGATCTTTCGTCCTGCTTCACGTGGTTTCTCTATTGATTTACTACGACGCTTCGCTTTTGCGAAAGAACCGCAAAGTCTCGTAGTGAAAAGTTCGCCCCTGCTGATCGATCGATCCCGCTCCTCTGTCAGTCGGAATCTCACCCGTAGCCGTTGTCTCGTGTATAGTCACGTTGCCACTGCAACAGTCTACTCCGGCAGTTCAGTGACACGGTACGCTATACGTCGTACGGCTTTAACCAGGCTTCAGAAAATCGACACCGGTTGTTTCCGGCCCCAAAGAGCACACGGCTCTCGACTCGTTAATATGCTTACTGGGGCGCGTGACTTTGCATGCCTCGCACACTTGTTTTACATTATTATCACTTTGCCTGTCAATTTGTTTTGCACTGGAGTCAGGGGAACGTAAAATCCAGCATAGGGGTTCTAAGGTAGTTTATCCGAGAAACGTACCGAACCGTTCCATTTTTCTCAGTGGCTACACCTTGGAGGTTTCGTCTACGTAAATCGGACGTTCCTCAAACTGTGTCAAAAGATAGTGTGTAAAGCTCTCGCGTTGCCGTCAGAGGGTAGCCGAGGGTGACCAAGGACACGCAAGCGAGAAAAGAAAAAATCGTCAAGTAAAGAGTACGGCAGACAGGAGGCGAAGGGGTGGAAAAACGAGCAGGTCGCAGGCCGCAGGGCGTACGGGCTACATCCGTGCCTCCTTACTTCGGCAAAATCAATAACCTGTTTGGGGGTGTAGGAGAGAACCTAAGGAGAGAGGCCATAGCATGGCACCGCCGCACTAGGTGGCACGAGCCAGGTGTGTCGTGAAATACGTACGCGTTCCAGGTGTGAATATTCCGAGATGTCTCTCTCCCAGGAAGCTGTTAATCGTCGAGTATAGGAGCAAAAGAATAATCGGCACCACCCCCGCAACTCCTAGCACCTGTGATACCCGCTGGGAAATCGGGATTCGCCCCTTTCTGCAGACCGATCGCAGTCTGATCAACCGTCCAAGTCGATAGAAAAGAACAAAACCACGACACTCGACGGATATGTTCACTGTCTGCTTTCGCCGGGTTTAGGTGTTCGGAACTAGCCCTGTCACGGGCGCACTACGCACCGGTATACCGACGACGGCTTTCCGCCGAGCGTAACTTCAAATCCTGAATGACAACGATCACACTGTCAACGAAGACGTTCCCTTTTCCGGTTTCGTCTCGCACCCCTGTCCTTGCCACCTCGCGGATTCAAATCGCGGACCCGTTTTCTTATCCGAATCGCGCGCTCTTCTATCTTTCCGCCGGGGAGAAGAGTATTCACCACCCCAACACCCTGAGGGTGGCTCCTGTTCGGAAACTTTGATTCGCTCGGATTCAGTGGTTCGCGTAGACGTACGTGCCTCGCGACTTTTCTGTCAAACGGAAGCTCCTCTGTGGCGAGAGGGAGCAAAGGAGACAGACACCGAAAGCAGCGCGACAACGACACGCGTTTCGAGTTGTCGCGGCTGTGGGGCGCGGACCACTACCTCGACGAGCCTCCCGGATCGTTGGATAAAACTTGGTGGGGCCGTTCCGGTCGGCGTGCGAACTCCCCACTCTCTTTGCCCCTACCATATACTACCAACTCACACGAGCGACGTTCTACTCCCTCTCCGACCTTACCCTCTCGCTCGTCTTTCATCTCTTTCCGTCCAATCACACCCCCACCGGGCTTCGCCTCCTTGCCGCCCAGACGCCGCGACCGTCGCGTCGCGCCGCGCCGCGCCGCGTCGCCATCACCCCTCGACCCTGCAGGGTGCGCGAGCGCATGTCCCGTACTGTGCGCTTCGGTCATGCACTTGGGTTCTATGTCGTTAATGTTGACCGAGCGCGTCACTCCATCCACCGTGAGCGATTGGGGATGGAGATTATGATGATGCCGCGTCACGAGGCCCCTTCGCCAAGGAAAGAAACACCGTCTGACCCTGGTACGCTAATCGCTCATGAGGAATTATGGAAATGAGGGCAGAGCCACGACCGGGGTTCCGTGATTCGATTCGGTTAAGGTGTTTCTCGATTGCCCTGTCACCTCCACAACTCACGAGATTGGACTCTGAAAGATTCCGACCCGTACTCGTAAAATATCGGCTGGCTGTGATAAGGGTGGCAAAAGGACGGAGATTCATGTCACCAGACCGCTGGATACAATCCACTTCCGTGGTTAACCTTATGGTTGCTTTATGGTATCGAACAAGACGCGTGAGGAAGATTGTAAACTAAAATCGTTTCTTTAACCCCTACGAACTCAGTAGTGTCCAATGAATACTATTTCGAGCTGATTCATTTATGAGAATTTTTCTCCTATATATTATATATTATAGCATAGACAGGATTCGAGGTGGTATAATATAATTAAAATAAATTAATTTGAGAGTATAATATAATGATGAGAAGTTATGTCCTTTGTTTTAGTATACTGTTAAGGACTCTACGAACAATTAATCACAGTACAAAAGCAGACTAGATTGTTCACACTGTAATGATCGCTGAATTTTTGCCTAAAGAATTGTTTTCAGTATTGAAGGATTTGTACGTGGATAAATATCGACCATTCTTGGCCTGGAATGTATTTATTCGACAATCTCGTACATATCTTGCGAATACAATAATATTCCTTTACAGTGTGCTAGACGTAATACATAGTTTATTTTACCTGCCCCGCCTTATAAATACGTCTAAGAACATCCCTGCTTATTAATGTGTTCAGGGCAAAAGTCTAAATGCTATTTGTTACCAACACTTGCTCTTTAAAGGAGAATTTTTTACTTTTAAAGTAACGTATTACTGAAGAGAACTTTATCTTGATTCAAATTTTCCGACTTATATAACTGAATCGATCCGTCACGATTTATCACATTGCGTTTTATTGGGAAGATGTCTCGGAATTGGAATGTGAAGTAATAACACATTCCTAAGTGCATTAACGCGACTCTGTTTGCCGGCGAGACATTTTCAAATACGCTATTCAATAAAACTGCGCTCAATGTAGCCAGTCGGGTATGTATCTTTTTACTGCTATGTTATATAACATAACATTCTACGAATATTAACTCGTGAGGTTTATTATACACCCTATAATTCAATAGTTGAAGATTTTATGTGTTAAAACTAGAAGATCTTGCGCAAACAAATAAGTAAGTACTGCGACCAAGTATAGAATCATTGATTAAACATTAATAAAGAAATTTTATAAATATTATCTTCGAAATCTTAATCATAATTTTAAATCTTAAATTCAACATTACTTCGTAGCCGAAACTAAAATTATGGTGATAAGTTTATGTTTTACATATTTTTCTTAAACTAGAAAATAATAGAAAGTATAATAAGAACTGTTGCTATGGATTCCAAAATGTTATGTTAAAATATTTAAATATTTTTCTTATCAATAGAATGTTAATGTAAATCTTGAATATTAGACACTAAGAGTGAAGAAGAGAATTTAAAATTTTTGTTTCATTTTCGTAGGAAGAATTGAAAAATCCCTTAAATAAAAGATTTAAAATGGATAATCCCCTTTCAAGTAATCGTAGACTTACAGTGGACATTATATTTTTTTTCTGTAGCAAATTAGTACCATTAAAGCACCTCTCATGGAGGTAATTACGGTAAAAATTTCAAGGCAATGGGTTAAGGAACTTTTGTTTGAGCTTTCCGGCAGATTAATTTTTATACCATGGTTTTCAATGAAAAATGTGATAAGAGATTATCGATATTATCGATTTTCATATCGTAATTCTTGATGTTAATTCCAGAACTTCATATTCTACGTAAAATTATGTGAAATAGAAAAATGTTTTGGTCAGTTTACCGATCGAAAATATTTTAACACATTGTATAACAACATGCTTATCCATCCTCTATAGAATATGCGAATATTCCAAACAGATTCACAAAGTTTATATATTTATAGTACTCCATAGAAAATAATGTTGATATGATAAATACAATATATGGTATTAATAAAATATAACATCATTTTCATAACAGTTTTATTCAATTGAAATGTTTAGTAATAAACGTAAACTTTTACAATAAATCTCTTTTCTTGTACATTGAAAATCTCGAGGACATACTACTCAAAGAATTGTAAAATCTTCTGATATTCAAGACATTTTCATTATCTTCGAAGTTTTAAAATTATTCATTTCATTCGAATTCTTGAACTTTTTAGTAACTTTGCTTAATCCTGCAAACTCTTTAGCGTTAATCTGAAAGAAACTTTACGATTTGAATAAACTCGCATACTGTGGAGGAGAAAAAGTTTAATGTGAATCGACCATTCAATGGAAAGGATAAGTTATTTGGAAAAATAATGAATTTGCGAACCAAGTTATTAATTCAGATCATTTTGAAAATTAATGAAATTAAACGCTGTATATAGTATTACTTTCAGTTCAATAGACTAATTTACGGAAATGCTAATAGAGCATTTGCAACGGCACAGTATGTTTGTGCTGTGATTATTTCCTATTTCAATTTATTATCAATTTCTCTACTATGCAGTAAAAATTCTAAAAATTTAATTGCTTATATATTCTCGATTTGGATTTGTAATTTCAAAAAGAATAAATTCCACTCCACTAGCAAATTTATGTCGTGTAAAATAACGTTTCACTATTAAGTTATGTAAGCAGTGCGCTTCATTTGAATATTTATGAGGAAAGCATCAACTAAGTGTATTAAACAGTTATCTGATTACAAGATGCAAGATTACAAGATTCAAATAATTTATCTCGAAATAAAATAGTATACATTAAACATTTTATTGGACTTTACAGTTGCATTCGAATGATTTTTGTAAACAAACTTCGTACTTTTCATCGGAAAAAATTGTTTTAATGAAAATATAAATGACCATCTAAATGAAGCTCGTGTTTAACTAAACAATCATTTTTCCTTCATTGCTTTCATGTTTTTACTTATTCAAATGGAGTACGCTATAACTTCTATGTGGGATTTGACCGTATCAAGATTATGTTTTTTAGAGAATGCAATAAAATGTTGCAATTTAAAATTTTGAACAAGTTATTCAGAAAGAATATTTTCGTTACTTATTTCTAATTAGTGGTTTCACATACATGAAGCATTGCTATTTCTATCGTTTCTCGGAATAGCCATTTACAGTGTCCAAATGGATCGGAAAACTAAAATCTCTGGTCCGGTATAAAGGAACTTCAGTTCGAAGCACACTAGTCGCTTCGTGCGGGTACTTGACCGTGTGTTACTCGAGCGATTACTCTTTCTTTTTTATCACCAGCCACCTAACTCTTCACAACTAGTTTTTTTTCATCCGTATTTCAGCATATTTATATGATCGATTTGAACTTTGTAAATGATCAGTAAGTAACTTTCAATAAGTAATCGAATAAAAAGCACAAAAATATAGGAAGATTAAAAGACGTTTCTATTAAACTGCAAAGTAAATTTAAACAGCGGAACCACATTTCACATAAGTATACTTTATTTTTCAAAAATATGTATTTCAAGGTATATGAGGTTATCATAATTTTGTTTGAACAGTTTATAAATCAAAATTAATACAAATAGCATTTATTATATTGGAAGTGCACGATAATTGTGTAATTTTCGAAAAAAGATATTGGTGCATCTTTTACAATCTGGCAGACGGAACAATAGTCAAAACAATTTAATTGTTCGAAATTATTTTGGATTTTATCGTTTCTATCTGCGTTTTCGATTAAGCAAAAAAAATATGATTTGCAAGAACTTTAAAAGTATTATCTTTTATTCGTTCTAGTATCTTAAAGGACAACTCGTCAAAGTTATTTTTAAAATTTTGTATAACTCTTGCATACAACCTAAGTACTACGTACAAGGAACTATGTAGCATATAATTGAGGATAAAAATCACTTATTTATTATCCTTGTTTGATATTCCAAAAATTTTTGACTACTTTTTTAATCTAAGTGAAAACTTTCATAATGCTCAGGGTTTATAATCATTTTTCGAAGAAATGAGAGTTATATACGATTAATATTTTATTAATTATTTTTTGTAAGAAGTCTACATCTGTTAACTTTTTAAACATATGTTAAGAAGGTTCAGTAAGTCAATACAGAATTTGTTTACTATAGATTGGTTTAATGTGTGCAGTGTTACAAAACTCAGTAATTTATTTGTCATTTTGCAGAATCATAAACGTGAATTCACATGTACAAATTTCGGTCACAAGTAAATATTTATTAAGAATTAAATTTGATCATCTCCATATGGTTTCATTTCCAAGTTTCCGGGAATTTCAGTTTAACCGAGAAAATGTGTAAGGCGTGCTACGAATTCCTTTTACCATAATGGATGATAGGTAACGTTGTTCAAAACGTGCACTTTATTGGAAATAGGATACAAAACTCGATTGATATTTGATATAAATTTGTGAAATGTTTCATAAATCATTGTGCAATCACTTTAAATACGAGAATTCTTTCACTTTTTACTTTGATTATTCCGTATAATTTCGTTTATAAA